ATCAGGAAATATGGGTTATGCATGAGAAGCCTGTGGTTACATTTTACAAACTCACATCTTTGTCAAGCTACAGGCTTCTTCTGTTAGATTCTGTGATACCTTTGGGAGAAATTCATTTCCTGATTTATAGTACAGCAGCTGTCATTTCTTGGCTGCTTAGTTTGAAAATAAGTATAAAAGCATTTTTCTGTTGATATCTTGTAGTCAATATTTCCAGTAAATTTGTAGACACAAAACAATGAATAAGGTAGATTTCTGTAAATCATTTTAACAATTTAACAGAACAATAAAAAGATTTTTTTAAAAATCCTCATGCTTTTTTAAAAAATCTTTTGTATCAAAAACAAGAATCTTATTGCACCTTAAAGACCAACACATTTACCTCACATACCCATGAAATAATAACTGTCAGTCTTTAAATGCCATAAGATCCTTTGTGGATTTTAATTTTTTTTAAGCAAGAAAAGAAACAAACCCAACTCACTGAGCAACTGGCCAATTTATGGGTTAGACATTTGCAGTCTGTGAATCTCAGTCCTTGTTGTGGCTTTGAGTCATCATCCAGCGTAATGACTAAACTGCACTTTTATCCCAGGTCTACCCTAATCTCAATTGCAGCTATTTTTCTTTTTAACTTCATATTAAAGTCATTTAGATACAGGACTATGGGACAATATTCATGGCCTTGCTCTGGAGTTTCTGAACTGAATTCCATTCATGGGTTTCTCCTGCAGGAGGAGAGGAAGGCAAATAGTCTTCCCCCACCCATTCAGAAGCTTTTTGAAAAGTTGGTCCAGAGGGCTTCATTTTTAGTTCCTTTCCTAACATTGGATAATCTGAAATTAATCTTTCTCCCAGATGTTCCTCAACAGGTTGATCTTTGCTACACTTTGACTAGTTCACACCTATTGCAGTTGCTATCCGTTCAGGCCTATTGAGGTGCAATACATAAACTTTACAACAAAGATATGTTATTTTATGCACTTGGTAATATCTATAATATGTAACAGACGTCGGCCAGAAGATCATGGCAAACTGCTACCATATTGTTGTCAATAAGACAACATGGGCCTATCAATGGTGACATCAGGAGCTGAACTCAATTTACACAAGTGGAAACTCTTTCTACTTTGAAGATGCCTGCAGTGTTTTCATTCATTGCTGTCTGCTTTCTCCTTATATTCCTTTCATTCAGCTTTTCATTCTCTTATCATCTAGCCACCCCAACTTTACCCTGGTGGTTATTCTGTTTGAGTTGCAGTTGAAAGTTGAAAGGAATACGCTTCCTTTTGTTGCAGCAACTGCCTTCTTTATTTCACCAGTTGTGTAATCTTATTTACAGCCCCATGGAACTGTAGAGCCATAAATAAAGGCATTGACTAGGATGTACAGTAAAATCAGCAGAACTGTATTAGGAAGACCCAGATTCAATTATGATCTCATGAATGTATGGAGTGAGTCACTATTGTGTCTTCAGTTCCCCTTTCCTAAAATGGGAATAGTGGTTTCCTTGTGGATTAACAATATACCCCCCCCCCCCCCTTGCAGTCACCATCTCATTTGAGTCTGCAGACTCACGTTCTTTTAATGCCTGATGTAGAGAGCGGGAAAGAGTCACCAGCTGCACTTCCCGGACAGATCAACTCTCCTGCCAGATAAGTGGTACAAAGCGCATGGT